AATTTCAGGCACTTCTCAGAAAAAATTCTGTTTTTTCTCATTACCACCCGAGGCATGATAAAAATCGATGGCAACAGAAAAAATGGTATTTTCCACTGTAAGTCATCAGTTAGATAAATCTTTCCCATCAATAAAGTTATGAGACTTGACCTCCCAAGGAGAAGAAATGGTTTTCTTTCCATTTTTATATCCCCCTCAACAACAGAGAGCACAGGACTTTGTACATAGCCAATTAACAAATATGTGCTGGTCATTTCTCAAGACTTTTCTTTTTTTTGAGTTAGAGTCTCACTGTTACCCAGACTGGCATGCAGTGGCACGCTCCCGGCCACTACAGCCTCAACCTGCTGGCCTCCGGCGATCCTTCTGCCTCAGCCTTCTAAGTAGCCGGAACTATAGGCGTGCGCTATCTCACCCAGCTAATTTTTTATTTATTGCAGAGACGAGGTCTTGCCAAGTTGCCAGGTGGGTCTCGAACCCGCGGGCTCAGGCAATCCACTCGCCTCGGCCTCCCAAAGTGCTGGGATTACAGGCTGAGCCACTGAGCCCAGCCTCATTTTTAAAACAAATAAATTTTTACTGAATTAAACCATTGTATCTCAGTATGCTCCTCCCCTAGCTCCCTCACACACAGAAACCCAGTTTCATGGCTTCTGATCTAAGGAAATCTGCTCCTTCAGATTTTATAAAAGCTAAATTGAATATAAGAAGATAACTCACCCACCCTTTTTCCTCTCTGGTGGATTATCTTGTCTCCGAGAGGGCTGAGCCAGGGTTCAGATGCTGGCAGGGAGAGGAGCTGGGAGACCCTCATCCCCACATAGCCATTTACTGGGGGATTAGGGGTTTGATTTGAAGCTAGAAAGCATTTGGGAGATTTCTGGGAATGAGAGAAATAGGTGGACCGTGGAAGCATGGAAGGGTGTACGAACCCCTCCAGCATGACCTAACGTTTGGTCTCCAGATATCAAAGAGCCTGTGTCCATGAAAGACTTTGAAAGAAAAACCATTAGCATGAAGGCCAGTCCCTGTTCAGACCTCTGGTGCAGCTTCTGCTCCCTGGGAGGGGGGAGCCCATCCAGGAATAAGTGTAGTACTCTGGAGCCAGCCAGAGGAGATGGAGCTCTCACTGAGGATGCAGGGTGTGGCAACCTTGGATAGTCTGTGGGTAGCCTTCGGCAGAAGAAATCAAGAGACTTGGTCCTGCACAGCCTTCTCTGAGGACATCCAGTAGTGTAAGAGGCAGAGGCTGACAGAATCAGGGTAATGCTGGCTGGACTTCTGATAAAGTGACAATCTGATAAATTGTTTTCCCGACTATCTGAAAAAGTACTTTATCTTTTTCTTATTATGAATACGAAAGGAGATGGGAAATTTTTCATATAAATGGCCAGCCTTTGTACTAAAGGTGGACATGGGAAGAAATAATTTCTTTTCCATCTTTTCCTTCCTTTTTTCCTCCAACATTCTTGGTTCCATAACAAATGATCACCATGTTGTGTAGTACAAGTGGTCTATTTTATCTTCACATTCAAGCATTTGTGTTCTCTCACTCTCTCCCCATCTCTCTCTCCCCCTCTCTTTCTCTCTCCTCTCTCTCCATCCACCTTCCCTACTCTTCCTTCTCTGGTTTCCTCTCTCTATGAAAAGATTTTTCCTACAACATTTTACACTTGGCAAGAAAATGGTACACCAATGTGTGAATGCTCTTCTGGGGTCTACAACAAGAATAAAAGTTTTTTCTTCACCCTGTCCTGAAAGGGATATAAATGATGGGGCTGTTCTGAAGACATCAGTTCAATGAGCCACCTGAGGAAACTTGTCAGCCAGGAGGCAGAAACACTGTGAGACATATCTCCATTTCACATGGCCCACTCATCAACATCTTCTTCCTCACTTTCACTGAAACAGTTGCCTCTGTCTCTCAACATTCCTAGAAGCTTCGCTCTCCTCTGAGGTCAGCAATATATTTAAAGCACTTGTTTTCATCCTGTTCCTATCAGTAAGATTTGGTTTAATGTTAGATACTCAGAAGTGAAACTCCACTCCCTTTCCTTCTGGGAAATCAGCTGCTACATTGCATAGATCCAAATTTTTAGCCTAACAATTCTGAAAAAACTCAAAAGTTCATGATTTTACTGCAACAAAGCCACATACATCTTAGGCAACCAGAAGTACCTCAACACATCAACACATCAGGTTTTCTTTATTTCCCCTTTTATAAAAGGAAAGAGTTGGGTTTTTAAAAAAAATTCTTTCATAAGAGTAAAAAATTTGGCTTTTCATGTTTTTTAAAAATTGCAAGTCCTTTAAAGTAGGATAGAGTTGTAAAATATTTATAATCTCAATGAACATAAACAGCTCGACAGTGTCCCCTGCTGACCATGAGCACAAACACAAAGAAGTTTGAGCCACTAGGGCTATATTTAGTCTACAGGACAAGTTAGAAATAAGTGTGTCAAAAAAGTATTAACTGTTCACTCAAATAAAAAAATGCAAGCCATCCAAATATGAGAAGGATCAAAGAGACAGAATAGCTACTCACTTTAATACATCAGCATGAAAAGGAATGCCCAAATCAAATTTTACTTGTCTCTCCAGCCCAAAATGGGATAAGGATTATTATTTTTGGTATAAGGTCTTTATTGACTAAACAGGCATTTCCTCAACACAGTATCACCCACTGGCTGTTATTAAAAAATGTTTGTTGGTTGTGCTATGGTCAGTGTCATTCTTACACATTCAGAGATTTAATGCATAACACAACAAAAATCTCTGCCTTCAAGGCGGTCCTGTGTTTTAACAGGGGAGAAAGAAAATAAATAAGCAAACAAAAAAAATTCAGAAAACAGGTTCTATGAAGAAATTCAAAGAGGATAAGTGGATAGACAGTAATGAAGTGGAGACTGGAGAATAGTTCTGAAAAAACAATAAGGCCTCTCCAAGGTGGTGACATTTGGGCAGACACCTGCATGATTTTGAAGAAGCCATGTAGAGAGAATGTCCTAGGAAGAGTAAGCAGCAGATGGAAAGGCCTGGATGCAGGAACCCATTTAAGAAATCTCGAGATGACCAGGGTGACAGCTGATGCTTAGTGAGAAAGGCGGAGAGCAGGGACAGATTAATTCACTGAGGTAGGTGGGGCCAGATGACACATTCCATGGTGAGGAACTTGGATTCCATTCTGACTTTAATGGAAACCAGTTGGAGAGTTTTGAGCTGCAGCTGACATGTTCTGAGTGCTGAGTGATCTTTTTAACGTTATAGTGAAGGCTGAGGTCTGGAGTGGGGGTGGCAGGCAAGAGCGAAAGCAGGGAAGCCAGTTAGAAAGCTACTGCAAGAACCCAAGCAAGAACCTCCTGGCTTGGATTAGGCTGGTAGTGGCCAAGACCGAGGTGGAGATAAGTGGTTGAACTCAGAATATCTTTCAGACAGTAAGCTGACAGGGCTTGTTGATGAATTAGAAATTTGGGGATGGAAAAGAACCAATTAAGATACCCTTTTGGACTAAGCAATCGGGTGACCAGAAATGCCAATAACCGAGACAGAGAAGCCTGGGTGGAAAATAAATCTGGGGATGAAGAAAGAGGTAAACAAATCAAAAGTTCTGTTTGATTTGCCTATTATATGTTCCATAGGATAAGCTTTAAAAATGGGTAGATACATGCATCTGAAGCTCAGGGGAGAGGCTGGGACTAGAAATACATATTGGGAAAAATCTCTGCAAACAGGTTATATGTTTAGCATGAGACTGGTAAAGATCACCAAGGTAAAAAAGGGTAGATAATGAAGAAAGGGGATAAAAGGGGGCTGCAGAGGGATCTTAAAAGGAGATGAAGCTAGCAAAGAAGTCTGAGAACAGCCAGTAACGTAGAAGAAATCGAAAGCAAGGCAAAGAGTGTTTCAGAAAGGAGGAAGTGTCAATGCTATAGAGAAAATCAGATAAGAACCAAACTGACACTGGATTTGGCAAGACAGAGGTCAAATGGAGAGCTTTTCAGTAAAGCAATGAAGACAAATGCTTCCCAAATGGAATGAGTGAAAGGGAGAAGAAAAGGTGAGAATGTGGAGTCCACAGAACAGCCGTTTCTTTCAAGGAGTTTTAATATAGAGGGACTGAGAGAAGACAAAGTAGCTGCAGGGGAATATGGGCTCAAAGAAGGTGTGTTGGCTTTTTTCTTTATTTTCATTCATAAGGGAGATATTGCAACATGCTTGGCAGTGCTGGGAACAATTCTATGTCGGGAAGCAGTGATGAGTAGGCACTAAGGGGTGGGATTCACCGAACAAGCTGGGGGGATGGCAGCCTTACACAGGAGCAAGGACAAGAGGGAAGACAAGATATACATACAGCGTGCAGGTAAGAATGGGGAAGTTGGAGATGGGAAGTCCTCACTTGATTACTTTTGATTTCTCAGTGAAAGAAGAATCAAGAGGCTAATAATCCTAGTACTCGCTGAGAGAGTATGTGAGGATGGGGAAGAGGCCACAGATTTCAAGAGGGAGAAGAAAATGAATGGAAAGTAAATTTATGAGGGGACTACAGCGGGACTGCCAATCATTGTCTCCTGATAGTAACCTACTCTTAAGGCACTTGCAACAGAATGCCAACTAAACATGTTGCTGAGAAAGAAAGGTAACAAGAAATATTTTTTGAAGTTATGAAATATTTAAAGTGTTTTAAACATCCACAAGGAACATAACCACCACTCGTGTACACACTATTCAGATTTAATCAACGCTAACATTTTGTTTCAGGTATCTTTTTTTTCCCCTTATAGACTTCCTCGGTGGTCACCCGATATTTTTTAAGAAAAAAGAAAAATTACAGTCACAGTTACAAGCCTCTAAGCACCTCTCTCCAATTCCATGTCCTTCCTCCTCTCCCTCTTAAAGTTCATTACATAATGATAGAAAACCAACAGTATTCCTCTTTACCCAGGCCTATCAATAGCTCCATGGTGACTGCATTCATCCAAATGCTGTTATTCAAGATTTACCTGATATCTGGGTTGTCAGGGAGATGACCACGGGAAGTTCTGAAGACAAAGCCCGGAGACTGACATTGTAGTTGGTACCCGGATGCAAGTCCAAGCACACCTCAGGATCCTGGCTGCTAGTAGTGATATTAAAGATCATTTCCTGAGCAAATTCCTTCTGATACCATCTCTGGCCCCAAATGTGGAACTGAAACATAAAAAAACCTCACTGAGTGAATCGCTGGCTCGAAAGACTCAATGCCTGGATGCTACTCTTTTTCCTGAGTTCTCTTCCTCTCTCTCTCTCTTCACTCTAATGTTTTTTTCAAAAAGTGAAATTCAATAGTAAGAAAATAATAGAGTTGTAATACCATAAATATTGTACTTATAATATTATTAGTATAATAATTGCATTTTTAATCAAAATGCCCAAAAGGCTGAGGTCCCAATATTGGCAACATTCTCTTTGTTCTTCTCACATGTACAGGTATATGCCCGAGAAAGCCTATTGGCAAAACTGAAGGAGCAAGGCAAAGACCAGTTTGAAACCAGCCTAGGTAACCAATTAAGAATCTGAACTAAGCAAGACCTGAATTAGGATACTCCTAGAGCAGGCATGGTAGAACCTCTGCCTGTCCCCTTCTGGCGACGCTACACTTTCTTGTAATAACCTGCACTGGAGCCAAGAGACACCCTTTTCTTCCTACTTAATTTCCTCTACTATAAGTTCACCCATTGGCCTTTCCGTTTCTTTTTCACAACATCTAGTTTTAAAAATTCCCCTTGGCTGGGCTTGGAGGCTCAGCCTGTAATTCTAGCACTTTGGGAGGCCAAAGAAAGTGGACTGCCTGAGCCCAAAGGTTTGAGACCATCCCAGGCAACTTGGTGAGATCTCATCTCTACAATAAATTTTTTTTAAATTAGCCAGGCGTGGTAGCGCGCGCCAGTAGTTCCGGCTACTTGGAAGGCTGAGGCAGAAGGATCACCAGAGCCCAGCAGGTTGACGCTGGAGTGGCCGTGAGTATGCCATAGCACTCTAGTCTTACAGAGTGAGACTCCAACTCAAAAAAAAATAAGTTCCCCTTGACTCTCTAGGCAACACATTCAGACCCTGTTCACAGACAGTGGTAAGGACAGAGACACACAAGCAGAAGTCACTAGATCCTTTCCACAGATACTACCTATGCATCAACTCTGTGCCGAGATATATGCGAGGCTGAGATGGGAGAATAGCTAGAGGCCAGGAGTTTGAAACCAGCCTAGGCAACATAGTGAGACCCCCCCCATCTTTCTCTCTCTCTCTCTCTCTCTCTCTCTCTCTCTCTATATAT